GTGTGTGTGTGTGTGTGTGTGTGTGTGTGTGTGTGTGTGTGTGTGTGTGTGAGCCAGGTCTATAGTATAAGTGCACATTGGCTGCCCATGTACCCACATCTTTCTTTGCGTACTTAAATAAACTACATTTTAAAGTGAGTGTGTGTGTGGGTTTTTTTTTATAATCTCTTTTTTTTTCATGGTCAAACCATTAAGAGCGCTCTTTACCCACTCAAAAATCTATAACTGTGAATGAAATGGTTCTTTCTCAAATTGTGTTCTTCAAATGCTGTTGTGTCTGGATATAAAATATATGATATAGATATACAGGGCGTCTAGAAGAAACTCTAATCACCCAATCGTCATGTTAGAGCCTTGCATTATCCACTCAAGTAGCACACCAATGTAAAGCTAAATAGATTCTGCATCATCTGACACATAAACATTTTATCTATGTTAAGAAACGCCTGAGATATAGTCACTTAAAATTGATCTTAAAAATCAAGCTTTGCAAAATTTTGCGAAATCAAAGAAACGTAAAACTGTCTTTGTGCATGTACTGAGGAGCACCAATATTGATAGAATGGCCCCTACATTGCAAATCCAATGAATGGAGAATTTTGTCTCTGCAATATACAAAATATCTTTACGATATTTTATTACAATAGTTCCAAACGAACCGGAAAACAGGCAGCAATCCCAAATACCACGCAAAGGTCTGAATTAACTATAATTGTGCTCATTGTCATTTTGCTTAGAAGCCATTAGTTTTGAGTAGTGCACAAACGTAAGGCCAATTAAAATGTGTTTTTCTGTTGGTTTTCTAATTGTTGTTTTTGTTCTTTTTTTTAAAGGAGGGAAGGGGGCAGAGGTTAAACTTGGGTAAACAGTATGAGGGACATGATTGGTTCATTCATTGGAGGGACTAACGACAGTAATATGAAATGAGCGAGGAAGGCATGGGATCATGTGATCCGTCATACAGTCTTCACAAAAAGTTAAGGACCACTTGCACAAGTGCACGCAAATAAAAGCAGCAAATCAAATCATTACTTCTTTGACATACATTTAATTCATCAATCCAAAAATGCAAAAAAGAAATTTCATCTAAATCAAAACCGAAATGTGTAATTCCCAGCGCTCAATAGGGACCCCCCTCAAAATCGAAAATCGCAAAAGAAAGAGTCTCAAAAAGTCTCAGCAATATCAAAGAAAACGACCAGTTTAAGTTCGTGAATGTCAACAGAATTGTCAGAAGCGCGTGTGCCCACCATTCATGGTAACGCAGTCAAGGCACCGTTGGTGCATAGAGTTGATCAGGCGTGCCAGAAAGGCCTGGGGAATGTTGTTCCATTCTTGTTGCAGCTGCTGTCGGTTGGCGGGCAAAGGGTGGTTCTCCTGGACTCTCCGACTAAGTTCAGTCCACAATTAACTGTTCTATAGGATTGAAGTTTGGACTGTTGGCAGGCCAAACCAGGCGAGTTATCCCCGCCAGCTGCACGAAGGCGTTGACGGCCGTGGACCTATGCAGCGTAGCGTTGTCGTCCTGAAGGACAGCAGCAGGCCCAATCTGCTGCAGCACCGGGACGACCAGAGGTCGAAGGATCTCCTGCAGATATCGCTGCCCTGTCAGGATACGGTCGACATGGTAAAGGGGGGTTCGGTGATGCCTGTTGACACTCCCCAAACCATAATGGAGCCGCCTCCATACGGGACCACTTCTTGAACTATATTGGCTGCCAGCTGCTCCCGTGGACGCCTCCAGATGCGGGTTCGGCCATCACTGGGTGTCAAACAAAACTGAGATTCGTTAGAGAATAAGACCTTTTTCCACTGGGTATGTGTCCACCTCTGGTGCGCAGTGCACCAGATTTGACAGTTGGCCCGCTGGTTCTGGGTCAGCTTAGGTTTTCTGACAGGACGACGCGCACGAAGGTTGACGTCATGAAGGCAGTCACGTATTGTTTGCGAACTGACTGTGGTGTTGGTGGCAGCTCGCAGACGTCGCTTGATGATGCTGGCAGAGCTAGTCCGCTGCTGTGTGGCGTGGCGTTGAATGCAGCGGTCCTCTCTTGCTGTTGTTTTCTTGGGACGACCTGTGCGGCGCCGCTCCTGAACTCTTCGGCTGGTCCCAGAGTGGCTCTGTGGGTCTGACCTGTAGCTCGCCTGGCTCGCACCGTGCAAATGAATGTATACATTATCGTGTGCTAAAGCAGCGTAGCTGTATCGTCTGTTTTTGTCAGCAGAGCTGTGCGATGCGTCAGACGTGCTATTCAACAGTGTTTTAAAAATGGCGGACATGTGTCGCCTCGCTTCGTGTTTATTTTCGACTGAAACTCTTCACAGATCACCAAAATCAACAAGAAGTAAGTATTATTAGGTGCTTTACTATTAAATATTGATGCTAGCCTCAACACTTGGCCGCAAAATCACCAAGAAATGCACTTTATCATACTTTGAAACTTCGAATCGAGAGGTTGACCTAGTTTCGACTGTTGTCGTAGGCCTAGGCCTAGATCTAGGCTAGGTGTTAGCAATGATAGTACATAACAAGATGGGCCACTTCTCTCTTTGAGCCATTTAAAAAAGTGTCCTCAAAATTTGGTGGCGCCCTCTTCACAAAAGCGCACTTTTGCGAACAGAGTTACCCTACTTGAGTTTTAAAAAATGAAAGTGAAACTAGCAAGTTTTGGGATAAATTACGGAAGAAAACGTTTTTAAAATGGTTACGCTGACAAAAAACCTCTTCCGGAGAAAAGGGTGATGGTTTTCTTCGATTAATTTGACTTTAGAATGAAAGGCGAGAGGTCATTAAAATAAAAAACCCTAAAACTCCGCACTGAACGTACCCGAACTGCTGATGAACAGCAGTCGATCTGCGCACGCAAGGACGTGTTATTCCTATTCTTCTTCTGGAAAAACGAAAGAGAGCTTCAAAACAGACTGCAGCGCCATCTGAAGCAAAGAGCATACTTCCTGCGGACACTTTTTTGGCTGAGTGGCCCATCTTGTTATTCACTATCTTTGGTGTTAGTGATGGGCCGATACCACAATTTAGGTATCGATGTCGATACCTAGTACTTTTTCAAGATATCGATACCGATACCTCGATACCTAATGCTATTGCAACATACGCCGGGGGTAATAAGTAAAGACAAAAATACAACTATACCTTTCCAAGTATTTAGGTAATCGTGTCTAGACAAGTTGTGACTGTTTAGCTGAGAT